CTAAATCAAATAGTAATAATAATTAAAAAGTCATCGCATTATGGTTTACAACTCCGGCGGCGGCAACGCATCAATGAAACTCATCGTCTCCCTAAATATAAAATGCCGGAACTCGAGCAGTCTCAGTCTCTCTTTCTCTCTCTCTCTCTCTCTCTCTCTCTCTCTCCTGGCCTTGTCCGATTTCTCGGCTATATGGTTGTTTGTATTGCGCGCGCGCGAGAAAAAGATCGGCACTGCGTGTGCGGATCGGCGAAAGCAGCAGCGACTGTACACATATACCAGTTGCTTATACCACCGCCTCTGCTCGAGCGAGTGTATTTTCCGGCTTCACTAAACGGTCACGCTATCTTACCGATGTGCATCCGGTATACAGTCATCCTCATCCACTGATACTTACTGCTATACAGCTACCACTGCTCCACGCGCGCGGTATTAAGCCGATTTTGGAAAATCGCCTGGCTCGAGCGCGCTAACGACGCGATAATAGTGCGAAAGTTGCATAATGACCGTGTGCGGAGCGCGCTACACACCGCACAGATGCTATACCACTATGCTACTTAGTTAGCGATGGCTTTGCTCGACTTTTTTTCTCGGATATAATGTAAGCGCAGACGCGTTGAGCAGTGAATGGGATTATTTTTGAGGAGCTTCCGTCTTTAAGATCTCAGGTAGAAATGAACAATATTCATAATGGCCCAACGAATAAAAAATTAAAAATTTTCAAATGTTGTAAAGTACGCAACCATTGATAAGCTCGTTTTTGGTGATTTTTTGAATGATAATTATGTTACTGAAATTAAGCGCATTTTGAATGACCTGAAAATAAAAATTTTATTGTTACAAAAAATTTAGGCCTCAATATTACTTTAAGCCTGCACCGTTAGATGGCGAGTACGATTCTTTACAAATCTGCAAGTGACAGAGGCAAAAGAATTGTATAAATCATAACGAGGTTTTGACATGTCTGCTTCAAGTTCACAAAATCTTCTTGTTGACAAAATCAGCCGAAATATTCATGATTTTTGAGCATTTCATGTTGAAATAAGTCGATGTTTATGTTGATAGCTCTTTAATGTTTGAATCCCTATGAGCGAACCAGGATGTAAAGGATCAAAACTTTTTTCTTTACAAATTTTTACAATCAGCATGATAATAATATTAGATTTTTCCTCAAATTTCTAAAAGAAAAATTAATCACTTGGCACACGATCAGGCAATTAAAATTGAGCACAATAATCAATTCGATCATTTTTAAAATATGCCAAACGCCACAGCCAGGAGATAAAAATTCAGGCAGCGACGCTTTTTAGATAATATAATCTCGCGAAACACGAACTTTCTCTAAGTTTTCAACGGCTACAAACAAGTCTACGATGTATAAGCTGACGTAAATTTCTACTTTATCAGCGAACGCTTACTATTTTACGCGCACAGATACCACTTACACTCGCAAGGCTAAAACGAGTTAGATGTTCGAGGAGTCTTTCGCGACGCAAAGTAAGTCGCTATTATAGATTACCTCTCGATTGTGCGAATGTTTATTTCAATTTACTGCCCCTATAGAGTTTTAGTCTAATCAACGATCGACTTGATTTTACTGGCTTAGCCAAACTGGAGTAAAGAGGCTTTCTATATCATTTATTCGCTTTTTCTTCCAATCTAATGGACATGGATTTGAAACTGAAAAGCGACCGAAAAGAGTGCAGTGAATTTCAGTTTCTATTTTTTTAAACTGCAGAAGTACCATGACGCATTCTAAGTAGGTGCAGCACTTATCGGCGACTTCGATGCCGACGCAGGCGATGTGTCTGTCACGAAATCGAGAGCAATAATTCTCATGAATTCACAAAAAAATAACAGCTGCCAATGTAATTTTGAATGACCAATTTTCCAAATAGGAAATGACGAGTTAAGAATACATTATACCCAGATTTAAAAAATAAACGCACTAACCTACATTTTATCGGAGGAGGCCTTTACAGGCAATTTTTCACTTTTTTTACAGTCTGCTTTACTTCATCTTTGTTCTTCAGCTTGCTTATAATACATGAGCTTTCAGTTTTGTTGAAACTTAAATTTTTACCTGGGCTCATCTTTGTGTAGTTACTAAAAAATTATTTGCTGTTTCGTTACGCTAACAACGATTGTTTATAAATTAATTCATTTACATACATCCCCTGAAAATCGAATAAAAAAAAGTCATCAAAAATAGCCCTAGCGGTCGAGGACGTATACGCAATGAACGAATCGTACCTCTGCGTTCACGGTCGGCCAAGAGCAGCAGCAGCGGTGGCAGCAGCATCCGGCGTCCGTAGCGTCGGTAGCGCTCGTTCGCCGGTCGCAGAGAGTGCACTTTCACATTTTTCGCAGCTCGCGTGTATATGCACACGCGGAGAGCGCAAACGGGTATACATGTGTATATATAATACCGAGAGAGGATCGCTCGAGTTCTCGGCGCGCACGTATGTGGATCACTGGATCGACGCCGGGCCGAGAACACGGAAATACGATCGATGCATGTGTATCGCCGGCGGCCTCTCTTCAGGCGCGTATATACCGATCTCTTTCATCATGCACGTGGAGACGTGTATAACGAGGCTTTTAATTCTGCAACAGCTTCAAAATTTCATTACGCCAGCCCGTATATTTTAACGCGGAGTTGCCCTTTCTACGCTGTATTTGGCTCATAGTTGCGCGTGTATTTGAGCGCGGTCCGTGGGACAGGCGAACGTCATCCTTCCACGTGGGACGTGGGAACATTTTCCCATACATGCTCGAGGCATCGCGTTCATATATAATGTACGCGCATGTTTTACGACGATAGCAACCGATAATGTATGTACGAATGTATGTATGCGGAGCAGCGATATACGCCGGAGAGGAGACGCAACGGTGCCGATGAGCGATTATCGCCGCGAGCGAGTTCTCTCATTATCCGCAGCGGCCGTGGATAATATCGGTCGCGATCGGTCTATACACGCTCACATAACGATCTTTTCGTAATTAATATACGCGTCGACGACTTTATTATGCCGAGATATAGACGCGCAAAAAAAAGGAAGAAAGAGAGAACGAAAGGATATCGCATTGCTAAATATAAACCGACGATCCTGACCGCGATGACGTCGATCTTGCACCGGATATGTGTGTTTGCGCACATATTGCATTGCAGCTGCTGCTGCTGCTCATCGTGCAGATATATCAACCCGATTTCCGAGACCAAAATGAGTGAAGAGAAGGAGGGAGGGAGGGAAGGAGAGAGAGAGGAGATAATCGATTACGGTATATATAATGTATATATAACGCATGCAGTGGACAGGAGAGTGCCGCTTTCTCTCCCTGGCACACTGCACTGCAGCTCGATCTCTTCTCTTCGCGGCAGCAGCAGCAGTCATTCGATTATCGCCTTTGACGTGCGTCTCTTTGCGTGGATCGTATTAAAAAAGAAAAAAAAATTATGAATAAAAAATGAACATACAAACATTTTCATGAATGAGGGATATATACTCGTCGAGTGAATGAATCGGTTTCTCGAGCTCTCGTAGCCCCTTTTGGCTGCGGCTGAACTCAAACGTATAAATATCATATATTTCAATACAAAACCAGGGTGTGATTTACAAACATGTTTTTTTATCCTTTTTTTTTATAAAAATCATATCCGTTATACAGTAAAATACATGTATTATTTTTCTCATATAAAAAAAAACATTATCGTAACATTAGGCTAGAGAAAAACGCACTGCTACGGTACAAAAAAAAATCGATACGTCGCGCGCACGCTTGGCTTACAAAAACGTACGAAACATACAAAAGAAGAGTCGCGTGTGTGTCAATGATATGAAGAAAAAATAGGAGTATTTCGCATCAGGCGTAACTGGCTACAATTCGTAAGTGTGCGTAAAGTACGAGAAAAAAAAATGGAAAAAATGAGAAAATGTACAATGCGATGAAACGAGATGAGAGAGAAACTCTTTCTTCGTCCTTGCCGAGCGAGCGGCCGACGACGTTGAAGTAAGAAAAGACAAAAGGAGAATATAGCAAACGAAGTATTTGTTTGTGTATATGGTAAGTGAGTACGTATAGTGGCGCAGTACACATCCGAGAATGCAAAAGAGAAAAAAAAATTACGCTAGAATAAAAGTGAGAGGAGATGGCTCGATGGCTAAAGTGTGTGTGTACAGCGAGAGAGAGAGATTAAACAATAGAGTAGCTTCTATTACGTACAAAGTATTGCGGTAATCCGCGAAGGTAATGAATAGACGAGAGAATACTGAAGGAGAATCGAAATGTCGTCGCACGATTGTAAATGACACGATTTTCTTTTTCAATGATGAACCAATTTTTTCTGTTTTTTAAAGATAATACAACTATTTAATGACTTTGGCGTGTATATGTACAATTAAAAAACGCGCGAAACACATAAAACGATTATTACAAAAAATTGTCGAATAAAAAAGGCATATATCATGGATACGCTCTTCGCGAGCTTTTGCACATGGCGATTCATGCGAGAGTATAAATATTTACAATCTACCACTGGTTTTATTTTTCTTTTTAAAATTTTTTTTCTCCATTCGAGCTGCTTGATTTCTTTATAAAAGACGACTATTTCTTTACGTGACTCTTGCTTTTTTTGCGTGGTACTTTTTAATAAAGAAATCAACAGCCTCGCAATGTCGAGAGAAGAAAACAATCGAGTAAAGTAATAAAACTAAGAGTGAACAGAGAGAGAGAGAGGCGTTGCGCGAGAGAAAATGATAAGTATATAGATGAAAAATGATAACGGAAAAATGAGAGAGAAAGAATGAATCACAGAGTTCAGCGAAGTGAAGCGAGATGAAAGAGAAAAGCGAACGTAGTTCTATGAAACGCGACCGCACCCTAGACACAATAACTGCGTTGCGTTACAATTTTTCCAAAAGAGAATGTGAGAAAAGATTTAATCAGTCTTAGATTTTCGCTCTACGTATTATGTATCTCTCCATTTTCGATCGTCCTCCTCATGCCGACGGCACGACGATCGAAGCCGATCCGCTGCCGCTCGCCGCGGGTTTCTGCGCGCCGTAGGCCAGATCCTGGGCGAAGCTGCGCGACCAGCCGCCGCCGTGTCCGCCCGAGCCGCTGCCGCCTCCGTAGCCGCCGAAATCGCCGCCGCTCGGGCCCGAGGCCGAGAAACCGCCGCCGCCGTGGGGTCCCGAGTCGTCGTGGCTGCTCACCGAGTGGCTGCTGCTGTGGTGCGGATGCTGCACCACCTCGTACGTCACGTGCTTCTCCGTGCTCAGGAGCTTCTTGAGGCCGATGATGGTCGAGATGACGAGGGCGATCTTACCGATGAGCAGGGCTTTGCCGGCGATGAGGGCGATGAAGCCCAGGGAGAGGGGCAGCAGAGCCGCTGCCTTCATGGCCATGGCCATCATGATGGGGCCCATCATTTTCTGGGTCTTCTCTGTTGGGAAGAAAGAAAAAACGCATATAAGAGTTAAATCGTGCGTATACAGTCGTACATTTTCTCGCTGCGCTAAATTGTCACGCGCTAACTGTACAATGTCAACGCGTAGTAGCATAGTAGTAGGTATATAATCAACGTTTGCACGCTTGACACGTGATCGATGTCAAACTCGTTGGTAATTACCGGACTTCTATTCAGACCGTATAACGAAGCGCGTGAAATTAGGCATTTATATCGAACGTGTACATACACGCATGCCTCGAAGATTAATCTTTTCTGAAATGTAAAACGTTATCGACGCCGCGCCCTGCGCATATAAATGAAGCCCGCGTCGAAAGCATAACTAACGGCTAGAGAGATTCGAATAGCAACAAAAAAAAAAGAAGAAGAAGAATCACGGGTACGTAAGATAACGTATAAAAAGAAAAGCGTAAAAAAATGGGCAATTAAGGTTACGACGCGCGTCTTTGTTCCATATAAAAAGTTAAAAAGGACGTCGTCGTACGTATACGTACGTTCATTATACGCAATTTAATTTGATAAGCATTTCACAGCCTAAATTCTTTCCTGCTGACATACACACACACACAGTGAGAGAGAGAGAGAGGCGTAATGGCACTTCAGCCGCGGATATATATTATGATTATAAACGCGCGAAGCTGCTGCTGCAGCCGCTGTATCATAGTAGATTATCTTTCACTCATGGACGCGCGAAGGTCAAGGTGCGCTGATGATGTGTGTGTGTGTGTGTAAGTGCAGTTCTCTCGCGGGCTCTCCGTGGAAAGTGTGTCGACAAAAAATCTTTTATACGTGTCTGTGTGTGTGTGTGTATGTGTAAGCGCGAGAATATCTCTTCTTTCTCTTCTTTCTCCTGTGGATCGGAGCTCTCTGATTTGCCACTACTTTTGCCGGCTGCATCGAGTGCGAGTGAGAGACGACTGCGTGAACGAGTTGACTGTCTGTGTGTGTGTGGGTATGCAATTTTTCGAGATAAGTACACACACACGCACACACGTATGCGATATGCATATATAGTAATTCGATATACATTCACCCGGTTGACTCGTCTTTCTTTCGTCCTTTTTTTCCTCTTCGTCTTCTCCTCGCGCACACATTTATTATTCGTACTTATATATTTTCCCACGCGCGCGCGGCTTCACAGTCTAATTATCGTTGTGGCTATACAATATAATGTATGCATTACGACTCGTTCACGCGCGCGCGTATTAAAGTTTTGATCGATCGTTCATCACCACTCCGTTAAAAATTCGCATTATGGTCTATTCGTAAAAAATAATCGTTGAGTGTCGACGAATTTACTGCCTCGATAAATGAGCGCACGCGAGAACTGTATATAATAGTTTTGTACTACGCTTCGTTAAATTTTCTCCCATCGCATCTCTCACGTGCTCGCGCGTTACAGCGTGTAGGATATGATATTTATTACGACGACGGCGGCGGCGGCTGCGTTTTAACGAATCATTGTTTCGTCAAATTGATTTCGTCTGGTGCACGTAGCGAAAAAAGATTGAAAAAAAAACAGCGACAGTATATCCGATAATAGATCTGACTTAATTAGAGAGGATCGGAGCAGTACAGATTTTCTCGGCGCAAATCTGGAGTAATAGATTTGGCGCAGGTCGAGAGAGAGAGAAAGAGAAATTGCAATATAACCCAACCCCAGCTGACGGTATATTCGTTAAAAGAGAGCATATATAATGCTAATCAAGCAAACGCGCGTGTATACGAAAACTTTACATTCGAGCGCATTTTATCTCTCTTTATAATCTTGTGCAATAGCAACCCGGCAGTCTTTTTCATCCGCGCTCAGGTACTGCTCTTCCTTTTCTCTCTTTTCTCTCTCTCTCTCTGGAGATTATATAGCTGTGCAGTGCATATACGCGCCTCTAAGTGTGTATGTACACATATATATAGGAAGATTTAGTTTGCCAGGCAGATTCGTGTGTATGTATTATATACCCCTCTCGACAAAAACGAGTTTCTTTAGTGGGTCAACTGCGTGCAACAGCAACAGTAACAACAACAACAACAACAACAACAACAGCAGCAGTGGTGGCAGTGTAAAAGCCCAGAAAGAGAGTGAGATTCATGCCTTACGCGATATAAACACACACGAATGTGTAATGCATATATTTATCCGTGATGTAAAAAAAAGAGTAAAATAAATAAAATAAGAGGATAAAGAGAGAAAAAGAAGATAGAGAGAGAGAGAGAGAGAGAGAGAGAGAGAAATAAAAGGTAGCCGCACCTTTTCCACACATATGTATGCTAATGCGCGCGTACAGCACACACATATAGACCAGAGGTCCTCTCTCTCTCTCTCGATCTATTCAACCTGTACATTTGCGTGAGCGGATAGATATAAGTATCGGGTATGTGCGCCGGAGAGGCGCGCGCATTACCCAGATATCTATCCGTCCAGTTATACGCCGAGCTCGGTATCAAACGCTTTCCGAAATGAAAGAAGAAAAAGAAAAATACCCTCCTCTCGGCACGTATATCGATGCCCGCGTCGCGTCGTGTAACGCGTAGGAGCTTTTCGTGCCATCCGCGGGCTCTCGTTTTGTTCTCTCCCATTTTTCATTCCTAATTGCATTACTCGCGCCGCCACCGACGCCACAGCCGCGTGAGCGTCTTACAAATGCAGTGTGTGTGTTATTTGTACGATACATTCATGCGCTCAAAATGGGCCATAAATTATATTTCACACGCGGGCCATAAGCGAGCCATTATAGTTTGTAAACGGCTCTTCTCTCTCTCTCTCTCGCTTTCTGTGTGTGTGTCTCCTTTTACGAGAGAGAGAGAAGGAGGTATGTCAGGACAGCAGCAGCAGCCACCGCGTGTGTATTGTGTTATATGCGACGTGGGTGTTTTATTGGCCGCGTGCAAGAGAGAGAGAGAGAGATTGGCTTTTTCTCTTTCGTTTCGACGTAACGGGATTTCGGGCGAGAGAGAGAATAAGAAGAAGAAAAAAAGGATGAAGAGATATTAATCCCTGTACACAAGAGCCAATCGTGGAGGGAAAAATTGACAATTTGCGGAGAGCTGCAGAGCGGAGGAAATTGATCGCAAATTCATGCGCGGCTAACCGTTTATATTAATAAATGCAGTTTTGCTAATAGGATGATACAGTTTTGCGGCTCTTTCTCTCTCTCTCGTGCCGGCCGCGAAGCGACACGATGCGTGAGCGTCTAGTTAATTCCGCAGCTCGCGAGATTATCATCTCTCTCTCTCTCAGCTCGTCAGCGCACCGTACGTACGTCCAAGGTCCTGGTGCGCGGCGATCGTGATATTTTAAACCCGTTACGCAGGCAGCTCTCATCTCTCTCTCTCTCTCTGCTGGCACGACTTTAATCTTTATCATCGGCATGAAAAGATCCTCGAATGTTTTCGCTTCATTTTTTTTTTTTCGTTCATTTTCTCGTTTCATATATCGACCGACTAGCTGCATGTACAGTTTCGACGTTGACCGAAAGCGCATGAATATTTTATTTATACGAAATCGTCGTCAACTTACTCTTCTTGCGTCCCTCGACGGCCGCTGACGAATCGTCCGCGGCAGAGCTTCCGTCGAAGCTCCTCGCGGTGGACTCGATGGCGCCGAGGATGTCGCTGCCCTTCAGGTCGACCTTGATCGAGTGCGTGCGCAAAAATCTGCCCAGACGGTCGAACAACAGCGTCTCGAGATCGGTCGAGTCGATGGACCTACATTACGCCCCAAAAAGAAACATATAACGATAATGGTAACGTAAACAAACGAATAGAGAGAAAAAAAGAAAAGAAGAATAACCGATTGTAGGCATATTAACGCGCATTGTTACACATAGATCGCTGGTTACCCTCGTGACTTTGTTTCTCTTATCTTTGCACTTTCACGAGGCGAGCTCGAGTGCATTATTATATAGGGTATACGAATAATGCACTCGCGAACAAGTTCAAGCGAGCGAGGAAGGAAGAAAAAAACGTATGAAGAATCGTTTGTTTCTTTTCCCCCTTGACGTTTTAATTCATTTATCTTTTGTGCGCTAATAACTGTTTTCGTTTCTGCCTCTTGCAGCTGGAGGAATATAATCATTATAATGCGCGCAAAACGCGAACGCTAGACCCGCTTGCGCCCGATCGCAAATGCTCTGAATTCAATCGAACGTTATGTATGTATGTATGTGCAGCGGCCCAGACACACGTTTCACATGCCGGCGGCGGCGTACAGGCGCAGGGATTATTATCCTTACGGTATTTAACAAGCTGAAAAATGAAAAGAAGGAGGTAAAGAGGTAGACAGAGACAGACACGGATGGAATCCTCCCATACCCGATAACCGATCGCTCCCGTAATATACATACGTACACGAGTATACGTATATCGATCACGCGTATAATAATGCCTTGAAAATGAAAAAAAATGTATGTACCTGGGCGCTCCCTCCTCGATGTTGGTCTGGGTCGTTTTCACGACGGTGATGCCCTCGCTCAAACTGATGTCCTCCTTGTCGGCCAGCATGCGATCCACGAAGGCGAACACCTTGTACTTGATGCAGGACAGCGACTCCTTCTTGACGCAGTCGGCGTAGATCGACGACATGAGGTCGTTGCCGTTGGCAATTTTTTCGTCGTTACTGGCTGCTGGCAGGGCCCACGTCCTCGAGGCCAAGCAGCAGCAAGCGACGATCATCCACGTTTTGGCGAACATTTTTGTGTGTTTGTTTGTAATTGCTTCAAGTTAAAACCTGAATAAACGTGAGAAAAAACTTTTCACTGCTTGATCAATGTCCTTTTTGCCGCAAAAAAAAATCGAGTATCAACTTCCAGTTCCGCCACTGCTGCTCTGCAGGGGGTCGTGGGCACTTTCAAAATATACGTTTGCTTTTTCGGATAATCAAGACACACGGCACTTGTTTCGGAACCAGAAGATGCACTCGACTTTAATATGCTTGTTTTTTTAAATGAAATTTTACCAAAAAAATTATTATTTTTTCGTCTGGTCTACACGAACTGCTGTCGTAGTAGAGACGGCGTACGAAAAACACGTGCTTTACAATATATTAAAATAATATAAATATTCACTAACACGACTCGCGGCAGAGAGTATTAGTTGCTCCTCGTCGCTGCTGTGTGTGGTGTTTGTTGCCTTGATGATGTCCTAGCTTAGTGTGTTGCGCCTAAAAGAGGCCTTGCTTTGCTTTTATATACGCGGTTCGCGAGCCGCGAGTCGTGGAGGCGCGCAGCGAGCCACGAGCCGCGTAAAAGGGGTATTTCGAGCTGCAGCGGGGCTCTCTACTGCTACTACTACTATTACTGTATAGCTACGTGGATAGCTGCTGCTGCAGCTGCCCCACCATATCATCGCATCGCGGGGCATATAGTGTGTGTCTTTTTCCACGTGCTGTTATCCAGCGGCGCATATGCTATGCTGTATGCAGGCCCGCAAGGCTTTCTTTCCTATAAGCACTAGCTGCTATTGACTTTGACCCTATGCAGAGAGAAAGAGAGGATGGATAGGCCGCGTTAGAGAGGGAAATACATTATACGATCACGCGGTATGAAAGACAGAGACAGATGGAGAGGAGAATAGGATGCATTTCGAATGCAGGTGCACAAATCAGACCTTGGCATTGACAATTGGGTGCAGTAACAGTAGCAGATCGAAGAGTGCAAGTGCATTGAAAAAAACGAGATGACGCTTGCTCGCAATTTCGTAATTCGCGTATACAACGCGAGTGCAACGCGTCGCGCGCGAGAGAACAGGTTTTTTCGTCGTAATATTGTGTTAATCGAACGCGATCGTATCTCTCTTTCTCTCTCTTATACTCGGCTGCGAAACTTTTACTCTCGCGCGTGAGCCACGGAGAGCAACGCGTGAAGAATCGATCGATTTGATGCATGATGCATTCGAGGGTAAGGCTAAACGGAAATTTTGCAAGGAGTAGAGTACCGTGTCTAATAAAGCTCTCATTGTACAGCAGGATCGATGATACTAGCCATCGATATCGATATATACTTACATGTTATACAGAATTAATAATAGGCAAATAATAGAAAAGAATTAATTTAATACTTGCTCGGGCTTTTTGCTCTACATACTTGCCCCGTTGCTCGTTTATAAACGTGTATGCGTTAACCTCGAAAAATCGAGTGACGTTCAAATTGAATATTTTCATTTATAGATTTCTCTGCGTGGCAATCACATACGGGTTACACAGAGCCTGTCTATCTGCAACTGTGCCAAATGAAATAGAAATGCGTGCGCCTCCTAATGACATCCTGCGCGATCCAGCGCGATGAGACGCGCGACTCGATACATATGTATATATTTATCAAATAAGTTATGTAGAACAATTTATTCGAAACTATTTAGTTGGAAAATCAGATCGATTCGACGAGGTTTCATTTGCGAGGAAAATATATGTTTTTATAATTTTCACATGTTTTTCGTATTTATTATCGCAAATGCAGAGAATAGCCTTAATTTTTTTCTTTTATAATTACATATGTATGACAAGCAAACGCGCGAGAGAAGAGAAAGCCATATTCGCGGGTATGAAAGAAAAAAGGAGGATATGAAAAACGAATCGTGTGTGTACGGATGCGTTTGATTATTTCACACATTCAATTCAAAGAAGAACACCTTCGCGCTCAAAGCGAGAGAGAGATGGCTTGAATACAATAATATAAATATTTCAAGACGCGCTAGAAGCGATGCGGCGTTTCTCAGGATCTACTTAGCTCCTAAGCACACACACACACACAGACACATACGCACGTACTATACGTGCCTGCTGCAGTAAATACAGCGTGCCATTATACGCTCGAAGGATTCTATATGTGATGCAGCAGTAGCAGTAGCATCAAAAGTAACAAAAAAGCAGGTAAAAATAATTTACGATGACATCGCGCGCGTGTGCAGCAGTAGTAAAAAAAAGCAAAAAATCACGTCGGCGTGACGCGCTTGCATATATGATTTTTACGCGTGTGCCCGACTTTTCTTGATCTAATGCCTTGATTTAAAGACTGCAAAAAAGTACTCGCGTGATTTACGAGTATATTAGCGTTAAATTAAAAAGTAAATCATCGGGCGCGCGCGCGACAACCGTTATGGTAAATTAAGCACCCGTGCATAGTAGACTTAATCGGCAAAATTGCAGGTTATCCGAGCGTCAAATGTTCATATACATAGACAAGCGAAGCGCTGCGTTAAGTTACAATAATGACCACCCTCGAAATGTTTAAGCCTCCTATATGTGTAGCTTAAAAACTATTTGTTGAAGCGTAAAATACCGCTAGTTTATGGTTCGTAATACTCGCAGACGCACACAAGTATTATATACACATATATTTACGCACATACAGTGCAGTACGTGTATTTACTATGATATTCCGACGCATCGAAGTATAGCCCGTGGTGCATTTTCTAATTTTTCCGAAAGGCTGCCACGAAAGTGTGTTAAAATGATAAAATATTCAAACGAATAATAATGGTCGTATTCCATAGTCTCGCGGGGATAAAAAAAATCCGCTAAAGATAGCCTCATTATAAAATATAGACGAGGCATATGATTTTTGACGGGGGTTAATAACACGGTATATATATACTCGTCGACGATATTGTTGTACGGCAAAAATTGACTGCGCGCGCGGACTTTCGCTTTGAGTACGCCGCAGCGCAAAAAGCGCCATAGTCTATTGAAGAGAAAAAAATTACGAACGATAAAGAAAAAAAAACAATCGTTAAGTCAACACTGCAGAAATTTTATTGGTCGTAACTCGCTCGACTTATACGTGTGTGTGTGCCTCTGCTTTCTGCGCGGCTCTTCCTCTATAGATACAGCTCCACAGACACACATACACGCATAGTCTCGCTTATTGCGCGCCTCAATGAGTTAAGTAAAAGTCTCCGCGGGCTGTGGTTCTACTGTTACTACTTATATTGCTACGACTCATCGACGTGACGATCGAGTGATTAATAAACCAGACTGTTAACGGTTATCAGCTAGGCCGCATATTAGCTAGCTGGAGGTGTATCTATGGAAGATTTTTCTGTCAACAGCTGCCGCTGCTGCACTTGCCACTCGTATAATATGCGTATGTATAAGTCTAAGCTCTGGATTCTAGGTTAAAGGATGCACTGATTTCTAAAAAGTGCACTTGGAAGCTTTTGACGCAAGTGGCTACTACTGCCACGGCTGTTCTGCAGCAAATAGGAGAAATTTTGCGCGCGCGCGCGCGCGTTCATATCTCTCAATTCTCAAACGAGAGAAATTGAGAGTTTTATCCTGTGGGCGGCCGCCCCGCGCAAGTAGCTGCTCATTTCCTTTTTTTTGTTCGAATGTGAGCGCTAAGGCCGCTACTTGGCCGACCCAAGAGAACTGTTGTAGAAGTGTGCAGGCGCGTTTGTGAAGAAACGGCATGCGCGCGATGTATAATTGTTAAAAGCAGCTATATAGAGGCTCGCCCGCGCGTATACGAGCTGCGCGTCACGGGCTTGGGTGAAAATATTTTACATCGTTTTGTACGTGCAATGCAGTTTAGCTTTATTGAAATAACTCGCCGAACGAAAGAAAATTCCGAACATAAGAACATTACGTGCTCGATGATTAACGTCTCTGTTTCTCTCTCTCTCTCTCGTATACGTTACTGCATTATAACGTACGAGCTATTTTCATTGGGCAAATATAACTGTTACATATATTATAATTCTTATTCCTGCGAGCGCACCTTGTATATACACATTTGCAATCGTGAAAAGAGGCGGAGTCGAACGACGACGACCGATCCACACATTGACTGCGGTCAGTGCAGCGCGGAGAGCAAAATTTTAATCCCGATTTCATTTCATTAGGTTGCCGCTTCGTGCTCGATCTAGAATCTGACCGTAAAAAATGTAAGTACGAATTGTTGTACACGCGAAAACGATTCGATTATTAGCGGCTTATCTCTGTCTGGTGAATCTTCGGTTTCCTCGCGTTACAATAAAAATAACAATGGGCGATATTTTTATGTATACGTGTGAGCGAATAGTGGGCCGATCGTGAGTCACGAAAGACGAGAGAGACACAGAGATTGCAGTGTATTACAAGCACAGGCGAGCGCCCCGTCTAGTCGATCGATCAAAAGTTCATCATTGGTTGTATATGCGCTTGTATATTCTTGAAAAAATAAAAAATAAAAAGGCACTCATATAACGAGTGTATAATAATGTAAAAGTGCTAGATATGACATCGCAATCGCTGCAGCTGTCCTCCGAGGCTCTTCTCACACTACTTTTTTCCCGTCGTTTCTTCTTCTTTTTTTTTTTTTTTGTTACCGCGTTAAATAGCTGCACCGGCTGACACGTGCAACTGGGTCGATTTAATATAGCTCGCGAGCGCACCGAGATTTAGGCTGTATACATATAAAGAGTATTTATGGATGGTAAGGAAAAAAAAACACGTGCGAATATCGCATACAATGGGCTCTGCTATATGGAGTCGACGAGGCGGCGAGGAAATGTAGAATGATTTTCACGCTCCTAGCAATGTGTCACGAGGATGAGCGCATATACCTACGTACGAAGGTGCGTGTGGAAGGTGTGCGCCTGCTTAGGAATGTCGGTTTTTATCCGCCTGGCATTTTATTTGCGCGATAAATTATTTAAAGATTATTAGGAGGAAATGCGTTTCGAGTCGTTTACGCGCGTCTATATTTTTTACGCCG